GTGATTTCAGTGTATACACAAGTGTACTTTTTTTTTGCAACATTTTACTCAGTAATGGTATCTCTTGAAACAAGAACTACTCAAAGATTCCGTATCACTGATTTAATGACAGATAATATTAAAATTTTACATTGTAAAGAACAATAGTTCCCTATTTTTTAATTTCACAAAAGTTTTACCAAATGAACATTTTTAATAATTTGCCCCTGATGACAAAAAAACCCAAATAATTTAATTTTTTTCGAAGTGGTCCCAACCAAATGGCATTGGGTTATCAGGTTCATCTGTTCCCAAATTTCCTTTTTGTTTAAGGGGTTTTTAAAAAAACTGGTTATTAATTCGGGATGCGAGGTGGGTTACCATTTGGGGAAACCCCCTTTAAAATTTTTGATGAAAGGGTAATATATAAAAAAAGTGTTGACTGTGTCACAGAATTTGTTGTTGAATTATAATAGTGTGTGGGTTTTTTTTGCCCATATTAATCAAGCAGTCTACTGTATTTTTCTGTAATGTGAACAGCTGGTCCGATATCATTGAATGAAATTCATTATAGAATAAGGAAGGTTGATTTGATACAGAATTAATAGATATAGTTGATCTGGAGAAAATTGTATGAACATGTGACAGGTAGCTAAGAGTTGCCTTTTTTTTTCCTGACTTTATCAATTATTTTGTATTGGGAGAAAAAATATTACTATTTCTATATGATGGAATGATACAAATGTATATGTTTTGCAGGCTTATTCATAATGTTAAGTTAATGCAATCTTTTTGTAATGAATCGATTTTGTAAATTCAAGTTTTTATATTGACGTTTTATTGAAGGATTATAAGTGTATCAGTGCTTTGAAAGTGTTTGAACTTTTTGCGTAACTTCTCGGAAAAATGCAAATGTCTTAGAAATTACTCAAGAGACAAATATTTGGAATGTGATGAAAACCTGTATTCAGTAGTCATTATTATATCATAACATAGTTATATAGACATGTTTACACTTTTCTGTATAGATGTAATAATTTACATGTATTTTATTTATGTTCTTGTTTCAAGAGTTACAAACACAGAGATGTGGTAGTTTAAAAGATTGTTTCTGTTGATCTACAATAACTTCATCAGGTTTAATTAATTAATCAATTTAAAAAAGCAACAAATCAGCATTGAGATTTTTTTAATACATCAATTCTTTTTGAGGTTTTGCTCGGCACTCTTGCAAAAATTAGGATCTGAGTGCCAACAACAGTTTTGCACCTTAGAGCTCTTGGCAGAGCCTGTTCAGAATGTAGACTGTAAAGAAAGAAATAACTCCCCAGCGCCCATGGCGTCACAAATGCATTGATGTTCAAACTGGTTTGGCTGTATACTCAAGGACTGGCACAGGCAAAGCATTTAAAATGGCTGCTTAATGTATTCAAAGGGGTATAATCTGTCTGGGATAAGAAGTGCAATGAACATTTACGGAGTACAGTAATTACGAGTTGATTTAAGAGAACTTGATACAGGGGGAGTAGAAAAATGTTGTCTGCACATTGGATTTAGTAGCAACTCGTCCTGCAGGACTAGTGACTCTGAAAATATTTTTTGATGCCTGCTTAAATGGACATTATTCAATCTGGAAAAAAAATGTTTAATTATTATTTTTTTTAGAAAATAGCAGACCATGATCGGAGTTCACAAATGTGTCTCAGATCTTAGTCTGTTATCTTGGTCTGCAATCTTAGTCTGCACTAATTGGCATTGGTTTTAAAAGGCTAAATGATGGTCTTCTACAAGATGCTAATTTTGATTTAAAAAAAATTATACCGAAAGATGGCCCTTAATTCAGCCACCATAGTTAAGAAAATGCATTTTTTATTCAATTTTTATAATTACAGTTAAACTTCGTTTGCTCAAACTCTGATCGTTAGAATACGTCCCTTCGCTCGTACTCATCGCCCAGTCCCGGGAAAATTCCTATATAATATATATTGTTCTACCTGGGATTGCTCGATCATCGATCGCTCAAAATCTCGAACCTGATCTCTGATCCCTTCGGCAGAAACATTGTTAAATTAAGCGAGATCTTGCTTTTAACACCTCATGATCATGATAAAGGCAATTAAGGTTAATTGATTCAAAATCAGAGGTGTTGTAAACGATTTGTTTGTTTTGATAATATTGTTAATTTGCTGTCTTTAGACGATAAAAAGAAAATAACTTGTAAAATAAGTGAAATGTGCAAGTCAATAAATAGATGACTTTCAATATTTCATTAATTTTATCCCATAATAAACATATAAATTAAAAGATATTTTGAACATTGTTCAACAAGACTGGAAAATGATTGCCCATCAGTTCTTAACCATTTACAATATGCATGAATATAGATTAACACAGTGTACTGTTAAAACTCATTTGAAAACACTGGGATAGTTATTTGTATTTGTTAGACGTATTCGACGAACTGATGTACTTAAAAAAAATTAGATTGATGTTTTTATCATTCGACTGATGTAAGCTAGAAAATGTTTAGGCCTATGTCCTACATGATAATAGTTCAACTTTGGTTGGCTGTAACTACCGATCTCTCGAACAAATTTGCACAGACCCTCTCAATCTCCTACGCAGTGATCTCCCCTTATCAGTACAGAGATCTCTGCCATCACAAACATTGAAATATCAATATTTGGATATTTATATTTTTTATCTTTTTAATTTATTTTTCATTATTTTGTATACTTTTGATAATTTTTTGATAAAATATAACGGGCGTAGGTACAAAAAGTTAAAAATAAATCAGAAAGAGAAAAATGACGTTAGATTTTCTATGTAACGGTCGATATTTACATTTGAATTTCGACGTTACGTCAGTGACTTTCATCATCATGTGACGTCTGTGAAGGCAGTGATTACAATTCTGCCAAGGGAGGTAATCACTGTGAGGAGTTTGAGACCCTCTGAGTTCAAGCAAACAAAGTTCGACTGTAATCTCTAGAGACAAAACGTTTCCAAAAAAAAAAAAAAATTATTCGTTCAAAAGAGAAGAACTCTTTTACATGATAAAGACATGAGAGAGATATAATTACAGTATAATAAACCTCAATTATTAAAACAAACCCAAGATTAGTTTAATATTATATTGCTTTTCTTCTCTTAATTAAAGAAAGAAAAAAAACTTGGAAAACACAGAGAATGATTTCTAATTTAAGATAAACAATAAACTCGCATTACAGTTAAAAACAATATTTTCCTCAAAACTGAATGTTCTTATTATGAATCACCCTCTTGATCTTGTTTTAAATTAGGATACTCTTTTATAAGGAGTCACTACAATTATTCTGGCTGATTGTATCCTTTTATATTCATAATCCAAGACAAATGAGATTTTAGTTCTTTGAATTTTTATCCCCAGCATTTTTATGTTTGATTACAGATAATTATACCAGACTAATACAGTAAAGTCACACTATTAAGACCACTTGGAGTCTGGCATACTGGTGGACTTAATAATTATGGTCTTAATTTCTGGACCCATTCTTTTCACATAAAAAGTCACAACTTCAATTTTTTTTTCATTGCTCAGATGTGTTAGCTTAGAATTACAGAATAACAAACATTTAATATTTTGCAACAATCTAATTTTTGTTAATATCTGTTAAGTTACCTTTTGACTGCTGATGGCAGCAAATTCTACCCATGTGACCAGTGCAGATATGTGACCAGTGCAGACATGTGACCAGTGCAGACATGTGACCAGTGTAGACATGTGACCAGTGTAGACATGTGACCAGTGTAGACATGTGATCAGTGCAGACATGTGATCAGTGCAGACATTGATAGTGCAGACATGTAACAAGTGCAAACATGTGACTAGTGTAGACATGTGACCAGTGCAGATATGTGACCAGTGCAGACATGTGACCAGTGCAGATATGTGACCAGTGCAGACATGTGACCAGTGCAGACATGTGACCAGTGTAGACATGTGACCAGTGTAGACATGTGCCAGTGCAGACATGTGACCAGTGCAGACATGTGACCAGTGCAGACATGTGACCAGTGTAGACATGTGACCAGTGTAGACATGTGACCAGTGTAGACATGTGACCAGTGTAGACATGTGACCAGTGCAGACATGTGACCAGTGCAGACATGTGACCAGTGCAGACATGTGACCAGTGCAGACATGTGACCAGTGCAGACATGTGACCAGTGCAGACATATGACCAGTGCAGACATGTGACAAGTGCAAACATGTGACCAGTGCAGACATGTGACCAGTGTAGACATGTGACCAGTGTAGACATGTGACCAGTGTAGACATGTGACCAGTGCAGACATGTGACCAGTGTAGACATGTGACCAGTGCAGACATGTGACCAGTGCAAACATGTGACTAGTGCAGACATGTGACCAGTGCAGACATGTGACCAGTGCATACATGTGACCAGTGCAGACATGTGACTAGTGCAAACATGTGACCAGTGCAGACATGTGACCAGTGCAGACATGTGACCTGAGTGTAGACATGTGACCAGTGTAGACATGTGACCAGTGTAGACATATGACCAGTGCATACATTTAACCAGTGCGGACATGTGATCAGTGCAGACATGTGACCAGTGCAAACATGTGACCAGTGCAGACATGTGACCAGTGCAGACATGTGACCAGTGCAGACATGTGACCAGTGCAGACATGTGACCAGTGCAGACATGTGACCTGTGCAGACATGTGACCTGTGCAGACATGTAACAAGTGTAAACATGTGACCAGTGCAGACATGTGACCAGTGCAGGCATGTGACTAGTGCAGACATGTGATTAGTATACCAGACTTAAAATATCTTACATGGTCTTGTCTAGCTTGAAACGCTGAACGAGAGAGTAAAGTCTTTGAGTAGGCTGTTTAAAGTACAGTTGAGCGGTTAAATGGCATTTATTTATATAGCAGGAATTATATACAGCTATAATTTATATGGCATTTACTTATATAGCAGCGGGCAGTTATATGGCAATTATTTATGTAGCATTTAAAGACTTACCGATGCTGTATAGTACGTAGTATAAGAATGTTTCTAATAATTATAGGAAATTTTAACGTGAGGCAATATCTGGATAAAGTCACTACTATAATAAAGAGACAGTGGTACGATGTGCTTTTATTTGTGGTTGATATTTTAACAACAGTGTACGAGAACAATATTATTTTATTCAACCGTGGTTATTCTTTAATATTTTCTTTATGAAAAAGAAATGAATTTGGCGAAAATTATTGGATGGAAACGTATGAATTAGATTTTAATTTTAATTCCGGACAAGTGCACGATTTCAATTAAAACTCGTGAGGATTCTTTTAGGAGATAAATAAGAGATCTTCCTTGATGTGAGAAATTAATGACTCGGTAATCATACGGAGTTGAAAGATTTTCTTTGATGTGTTAATTGGCAGTCGGCGGGGAAAAGGTTTTTGTTCATTGAAGATGATTGGATATTGTTTGTAGTTAGTTGACCCATGTTTTTATGTGTTTGACAACTAACTTAATTGCAAAGGGAATCGATATTTTGATATGGACTTTGATAGAAATAAGGTACGTTTAACGTCTAATATGCAGTTATGCTCTGTGGATTGACTTGGAATTTTTCGTTGAACAATTTTACTTGGACGGTCATCGTCATTTATATTTATAATGTCCTACCTATGGTTTTATCACAATGGCGGACGTGATTTACACGGTAATAGTGGTGCTAATTCATTATATGGTGGTAACCGTGGAAACAGATCAAGACGTCCGATGAGGGAGAGATCTTATCGACAGTTTCCCCACCACAGGAATAGTGGGGTGCTTGGTCTTAGTAAGAGTATAGAAACTCTGCCCCCACCTCCGCAGTAAGTCAATTTTCACTATTATATACTCTTTGTATTAATGTGTTTATGCTCATTATGTCTGTTAATTTCATCATTTAATGATGTTTTTGGGTAATTGTCACGTTAAACTATGAAGGTCATGAAATTATGGCCACAGTACCAAGTTCTTCATAATGGAATCAGACCTTAGGATGTGACTTCTTTGTTGAACTATTTCAAGTAGGGGATACATATTAAGTATGTTTAGTTCTTAGTAACAACTCAGTATTCAAGTAGTTGTCAATGTAAGGAGCAATATTTATTGGTTTGGTCTTGTAGATCACACGTCAAGAAGCCCAGGCTGGCTTGACTACACTGGCAACTGCTCATGCAGGCAAAGTGATTACATGCATGTAGCAGATAATATTAATTGGTTGAAAAAATGCAAATTACCAAATATTTAAGACTCCTCAGACGTAATAACATATTGACACGATGCTTTTTAAATGCTTCCGGATGAGTCAAATTCTTTCATAGTTAAGAAAAATGTAAGATTTTAGATTTTAAAAATAAAAAGATTCCAGATTCAAGTTATAATTTATAATTATGTTTTGTTCGATTAAAGACTGATTTTGCAGTAATTACCATAATAATTTCTATAGCTGCGGAACTCAGGGCTATTTTTGCATATTTTTACCTCTTTTTGGTAATTTACATGGAATGTAAATGCCATTTGCAATGTGTTAATTATTGTCTTTGTTCACATCACAATATTTTACTTCTAAATAGATTTTTGAAATTACCTTGAAAATTAGTGTAAATTTGGAGGCATGCTGCTTAAGTTACTGTAAAATATAACAGAAATTGGTATCAGTTACTGGCAATTGGAATATAAAGATTTGTTATCAGACAGTGTTATTAATAATGTATACAAAATATTATTTTCATTCCTTCAGTGATTTAGTACAGGGCGGCATGGTGTTTTCATTTAATCCAATATTTTGTGGATATCAATGAAGTCAGATACATGTAGTGCTTATTTTTGTTGAAAAAATTGTAATGTTGGATAAATTTCAGAATTGAAAAAGTTGTGTCAAAACGAAAGAGATAATTTCATCAAATCTTTTATTAGATCAAAACATTGTTTTGGTATGTTGAATTTATCTAGGGAATCTTGAGCATAACAAAAATGCTACGTATTTCCCCGATTCCTATTGTATGGGCCAAAATTGTTCTCAAATAAGGAGGAAACAAATTTTAAAATTTTTTAAATTAAAGGTTTTACAAGAAAGTTTTGAAATGCGTTTGATTGCTCATGATTATCAAGTTCTGTTCTATTATTTACTTAATCTAAACTGATCATTGAGTGTAAGTATGTAGCTATAGATGACTTTTCTCATAAATTATACATGGCAATTACAGGTTTAAAAATGTTGTTCTGAGTGATAACCTTTGTGTGACCTTTCCCTTTTCAGTTGTATTTTTTTTTTTAACACCCACTGCATTTTTGTACCCATTCTATTTCGAAATCATGTCAATCCAAGCAGGACCAAGATTATTTCCCATAATGCTTTTAACTCATAGCGGCTAAAAATCACATATTTTTGGTGGGGTTGCACAAATTATATGGCCATATACAAATGCTTGTTTCCAAACAACTGTTTATATAGGGCCGTATAACCTGTAAAAAAAATTTATAACTAATCGTATACAATATACACAGAATTCACTTTCATGGAAAATATTTAGTTTTCACAGTCAAGTTAGATTAAATTTGGTGTCATATAATATGTAAATCTTTTTCCTGCCAGACAATATAAATGTATTAAGCATTGTTTTCTTCAATATTTGATTTGATAGAAAATGTGCATTGTTATTTATAGTTTTAAATGAGTTATTGCATTACACAGGAAAGAAAACCAGAAATAATTTTGACAGTTATAAGTATACTGAAATGTTAAAAAACAAGGAAAGTTTTGATATTATGCAATATTTATATATCTCAAATTGTCCAAAAATATATGCACTGATCCAGACCAAACCCCATCTGAAATATGCATCTATACTAGGGCTGGGGCGAGTATCAGAGTACTCGGATAATCACGAATTGCAATGAATAATCGAGTACAAATATTCATATTAAGTCCTGGGATCGTGGATCGCGATCTTATTAGTTTATATCCATTTTCTGTGTCTCACACTCTAAAGTTCGGGGAAAAATACAATTTGAGTATGAGCGATGCGATGTTTACCAAAATACCACCAGCAAAAGTTACTTCCAATGTTTCGAAATACTTTTGTATAGGTTGCACAAATATACATTAAGATACTCATGCCAAGAATAAAAAACATTAACTTAGTTTATGTTTGCATTATTTTATATGATTAATGTTAAGTAGTGTTTAAAGAAAAATAAACATTTTTTTAGAACTAATGTTCATGTTTTAAACGGTGTCTTGTTAACAAAAGGTTCGTGGTTCGATTTGTGAATCGTAAGTGCTGAATCTTGGTTCGGATCGGATCGTCATTTATCCGACGATCCACACCCCTAATCTATACCCTTGTTAAATTTTTTTTTTTTGTATCTGAGCTTGTACTGGTTAACTCTCATTTGCATTATAATATTATCTATATTTATAATCTAAAATACTGTATTTTTTTTATTTTTTTTTGGGGGGGGGGCGCAAATGGGGAAAGGGGGGGGGGTAAATATAAATACACTACAAGGATAGCTGTCTGATTTGCAATGCTAGAATAATATAATACTGATAATCTTTTTAAATCATATTGCCATTTCTTGTATATCTAATGCTGATTTTAAACATTCTTTTCTGAAAGGTGAAAACTCTTACCTTTATTATTAATGATGTCAGAGATAAAGTCTGTCTATTAAACTATTCGCTTTTCCTGGAGGTCAGTTAATTGTCCCCATTTAAAATCCAGAATATTGATGCGCTTTAATCTGGCTACATTGGAGCTGGAGTTTTCTGAAACTATTCTCTGTACAGGTTTTTGACCTTGAAATCCTGATGTAATGCTCTATTCAGGGCGTTGTAGCTTGAAATCCTGATGTAATGCTCTATTCAGGGCGTTGTAGCTTGAAATCCTGATGTTATGCTCTATTCAGGGCGTTTTAGCTTGAAATCCTGATGTTATGCTCTATTAAGGGCATTTTAGCTTGAAATCCTGATGTTATGCTCTATTCAGGGCGTTGTAGCTTGAAATCCTGATGTTATGCTCTATTCAGGGCATTTTAGCTTTAAATCCTGATGTTATGCTCTATTCAGGGCATTTTAGCTTAAAATCCTGATGTTATGCTCTATTCAGGGCATTTAAGCTCGAAATTCTGATGTTATGCTCTATTCAAGCCATTTGACCTTGAAATCCTCAGATGCTATGCTTTGTTCAGGCCATTAGAGCTTGAAATCCTGATGTTATGCTCTGTTCAGGCCATTTGAGCTTGAAATCCTGATGTTATGCTCTGTTCAGGCCATTTGAGCTTGAATTCCTGAAACTATGGTCTATTCAGGCCATTTGAGCTTGAAATCCTGAAATTATGCTGTATTGCAGCATATTTTATCTCCAGTTAAGTCACACTCACTAATGAGTCAAACTACAAATTAACAATTTCTATCCTCACTAGTTCTCAAAAAAGAGTCATTTAATGGTTTAAATCTGACCTAAATCAATCCATAAAAAAGGATGTAAAATGTAATATCTTCTACTTCAATGGCTTCCTTGGTAGTTAAAGCAAGTTCTTAAATATACATGTAAGTCCTAATTAGATTTAGAACTACATGTCAGAAATAAGTCCAAGGTCCATTAGAAAGACTGTAATCAATTTGGCGGGAATTATGGTAGCGTATTAATAAATACATGTAATTGGTTAAATTACTTTCTTGGCAAGATAATTGTTAAAACTTCTGTTGACTGTAAGAAATGGTCTGAGAAAAGGGGTAAACAACATTATTATTTGATGATGGAAACAAGAGAGAGGAAAAGGTTAACATGGTTTTTGGGTGATATTATGTAATTGGTTGTGGCATGGCAAGACTGGCGTAAAGTGCTGATAAAGTCTTAGCAGATAGGCTCATCTGGCTGGGAGATGGTAATTTATACATATTTGATGAGTGGACGGGTCACTATTATACTGCACAGTAGATGGTCATCCTCTGTTGTTCTGCGGAAGTTTAAAGGCCGTTTAATGATATTTTCTTGAATTATTAAATATCTTGTAACAAGCTGTCTTTGATCTGATAATTGCCCTTTAGGCCAGTTTTCCTTTCTTTGGCTTTGTTTTTAATGCAATAATAATGGAAGATGTCTGTCCGCAACTATTATAGGATACTGCGAGGAGGCATAATTCATTCATTCATTTGCATTATGTTGTATTAAACGTTTAAAATAATTTGGCGGAGCTGACACTGAGAGATCTTGTTGTTGTACTATGTTCCTTGTTTGTTCATGAACTTTAGTGTGTTCAAAGGAAGTAAAAAAATGGAGTTAATTATCTTTTAATGTAACTGTTTGACAAGAAATTTTATATAGATTTTGGATTTTATTAAGTGTTTAGTTGATGAATGACTGTTAAAGTGGCAGTTCTTTATTAAATGAGTTTACAAAAGGAAAAAAAAAAAATATATTGAGGTTTTATGGAAAGGAATAATTATGGAACTGCTTGATTAAACTGAAGCTGCTATATATAAGGCTAGAATATGTTCCATAGTAATTGCAATTAAGAATTTTTAACCAAAATGAAAATTAAAGTTATATACGAGTCTGCTAATTTAAGACAAAAAAATGATGCATAAACTTACTGTGAAGTAATCAATAATATCAAGATCATCATGTCGAATCCGTTTTTTGTAAACGGTGCGTTCAAACACAATCATGGTAAGACGGACTGTAAAGGCAGTCCAAAAGGTAGTCCAAAAATCAAAAGAAGGCAAGATACAGTTGATGAAAGTTCCGACTCCATAGTGAGAAACAGTGTTCTTGGGAATAGGTTTAGAAATCTTGGTGTTCAAAATGAAATAAATGATACTGGGATAATAGAGCGAGGAAATAGTGGCGTTGATGGTATTTCTAGGTTTGGTTACCAGGACGATTCTAGTAATGAGAGGTAATTTTTATAGGCACAAAAAAAAGGAGAGAAACATTTCGTTTTTGTGACTGTGTGTTTCTAAATTGCACATCAAATTGGATTTTCTATATTCTTTATAAAAAGCACAGGACAACACAAGTTAATCACACAATTTAAAGCAGTTTTAAGATATATAAACAAAACTTAAAGTGTTCTTTACATTAACATACTTGAATTTCATGCAGAAGCTTTAACTTTATAGCTGTATACAGACTATTCATCATGTCTATCTATAGTTAAAAAAAGAGAGAAAAAAAGAAAATCTAGGTCATACAATTTCTTGTAACTAAGAAGCTTTCATCTGAACTTAATTAGTCATATACCGGTAGGTGACTTTTTCTTTCACATCAAAAAAAAAAAAAAAAAAGAAAGCTATAAGGTGATTATCATGACACAATTTTTTTTAATGAACCCAAATAATGATTTTCCGGAAAAAAGTTGGTGGGTACAGAACAAAAAAAGAACAAAAGGTATCGGTAAGAAGGTGATGGGGGATAATGCAGAGGATAATGCCGAGAATAATGCCGCATGCCTGGATCGTAATTGATTGATTAAGCTCATAATGACAATTAGGACAATGACATAGGGTGAACCATGATTGAATTATACGAGTGATTTATATATAAATCTTAGATTTTATATCCTATATTGAGACAAATGTTCATTTCTTTATTTCTCTTTCACTCAATACTTGGTGTTTTCATTCATTTGTTCATTCGTTCATTCATTCATTTAACTATCCATGCATCCATCCATCCACCCACCCATCCATCTATCCATCCAACTATCTAACCAACCAACCAACCAACCAACCAACCAACCATCCATCCATCCATCCATCCATCCAACCATCCATCCATCCATCCATCCATCCATCCAACTAACCAACCAACCAACCAACCAACCATATATTTACTCATGATCAGTTGGAAGCATTAACAGCAGATATAGATTTCCAAAAATATATATTTTATGTAAAAATGAACATTATGTCATAGAACTGGTAAATTCTAACAAAATCTTATGAGTGTAGCCATGCTGAAACTTTGGATGAATACCCACATATAGCAATGGTTATATCTATTGGTCTTTTCTTGTTAGCGGCTGGCGATACATTTTGTCAGTACTATAATTATAGATAAACAGTAATGGTAATTGAAGTGTTGGACAAAACCATCTTCTTCTTTGACAGACAATCAGTGGCCAATAAATATACTTCACTTTAAGCAAAAAATTAGGTCAGATGAGATTTGAACTTTTCATTATGCCCCTGTCCATATAGTTATTGAACTGTCTGTCTATCTGTCTGTCCATACAAGGTTAACCTAAAACGGCAAGTAGGATTTAATTCTTAAATTCTACCTGTACCAATGGCTTCATAATTTACACACTTATTAATCAATACAAAGTACAATGTTATACCAATGTTGTTTCTAATAGGTGACTTTAAGATTTCAATGATGGGAACAAAAAAGATTCATTTGGGTTTTATATATCAAGGAAAAGTTTCAAAGCAAATGTTTGCCAGTAATAAAAAGATGGATTGCAAACATAAGTTATATAATATTTTTGATAGGTTATGTATATGGCCCTATATAATGATGGTGGTGTTGGTAGTTAACACTCAGGATCATGTCAGTAAATCACTTTGAATTCACCAGAGCACCGTGAGTTCAGCCATCATATCGTTCCTGGGTAAGCTGTCAAGCAGTTTACCTGTACTAGTTGCTTTCACTTACGCAAGGATCTGATAACTACTATACAAATTTTTTTTGCACAACCATATTGACTGCGAATTTCATAAAAACGTTATTTCGCTGTGGTATTAAAAATCATATTACCTAGTATCACATAATGATATATAATTCTTTCAACTACTCAAAGAAAGAAAAAAAATCATTATAAGAGTGCAGTTTCATTATTAATTACCCGTTATTAAATATTGGTGTAATTTATGACTGTACAGGTATATCCTTTAAAAGGTTAGTCCATGTTTATAAAGTAATTGATAATAATGACCTATCAATGTTGTACAAGAACTTATCATTTAGAACAAGTGTTTGTTAATCAGGGAGAGAGACTTTGTACATTAGGTGTTGCATCAATATAGGGTTGCTATGGTGATAAAGTAATATTTATTGTACAATTTGTTATTTAATGGTGCTACAATTGAATTATTGTCTACTTTCAGCATTAATTTAACTTTTATATCTCTTATAATTTGTTAGAACATGCACATGAATTTTTCTGTTACTAAAATTTAATTTGACTTGACTATTTCTATGCCAAATTGCCAATATCAGAAGTTATTGGCATTTGCCATGGGTAAAGATCTTGGCCATCAGTCTAAGGTTGATATAGACTTTACTCTGAATTGTTGTTATCCGGAACTCAGCAAATGTGGGATTTTCCAAAGTAAATTCCCATAGAACAAACAAACTTGCACTGTTAAAGTTTCACAGTACAATACCTGTTATAATAGAGTTGTCAACCTGAGGTGCCTATATATTGTCGAAGCTGTAACTGTAAAAGTTTGTTGTACGGTCCTAGATCAGTTGGGAAAAACCCAATATACCCTAAGTCTGGAGTAAGTCTTGTTTTGTTTTTTGCAGATTTATGTGCCAAAGTGAGAGAAATTGTTGGGGTTTTTTTTGTTAAGAAAAATGTGATTTGTTTTTTTTTCTTCTGATCATGACATTTTATTATTTTATATTTGTAGAGTGCGTGTTGAGTTTTTCACCAATGAGAAATCATTCAAAGAGAGGTTACAGCTTTACTTCATCAAAAACCAGAGATCAAGTAAGTGTTACCTAATGTTATGTCACCACTCAAATACTGTACGGATTGATTATTTTGAAAATGACCCATATACACTGGTAATTTGTTATGTTAATTGTAGTTATATTGTTAATTGGGAATTTAATTTTAGAGTGGCTTCCTTCATTTTTTCCAAATTCCATGAATTAAAACATTGTTCATTGCTGTAGATGTAGTATTTTATCACAAAAACCAAGTCTGACACAACTCTTCCGAGTAGCGGGATTTTTTTGTTCAAAATTCGGTAAAAAGATGCTATTTTTAATAGGGAAAATGACATATTGTTAAAAGGAATGTGGGTACATGCATGACCTTCACCTCCAAATGTTCTTCTCAAGCAGACGTAAAGTATAGACAGTATGGTGGTGTTAGTTTACAAGTCATTCAAAATTCATCATTCTCTGGATTATTGTCTGAAAGTTTGGTACTTATTTCATCTGTTCCATTACGCCTGCGGTTATAAGGATCTTTATCTTGTCTAAATGATTTTCAGTATTAAAATATGTAATTAAAACATAATTATCCAACAGTAAAGAGCCTGATCTGACTGTATGGATGTCCCAAGCTGGCCTGCCTCTATACCGAGGTCAAAGGTTAATCACTTTTGGTAACAATAGGTCAAAGGTTAATCACTTTTGGTTACAACAGGTCAAAGGTTAACCACTTTTGGTAACAACAGGTCATAGGTTAACCATTTTGGTAACAATAGGTCAAAGGTTAACCACTTTTGGTTACAACAGGTCAAAGGTTAACCACTTTTGGTAACAACAGGTCATAGGTTAACCATTTTGGTAACAACAGGTCAAAGGTTAATCACTTTTGGTAACAACAGGTTAAAGGTTAATGCTGCCTAACTTCTATTAAAGAGTTGTCCCTGCTTTGAATATGAACCTTTAAGGGGAAAATTTTATTTCAAAATGGTAAATATTGGGTGATGAACAGTTGTACACTGAACAAAATTATTTACCATGCATATTTCACTATTGCATTAAAAGGATAATCAACTTTAGATTTATATGACAAAGGTTACATATCATAGCCTAAGAAATTGACTGTAAACAGAACAATATTTCAGTGGACTATAATGATAATTCTTTGTTGCTAAATTATTCTTTGAGATAAATATATATCAGTTACACTACATTTAACTTTCATTCAGTTAAATGAAAAAAATGATTCAGGCATCATGGCAAAAATCAAGCAAAATTAAACAATTGACCTTGAAGGTCAAGGTCATTTATGAATGACCTTCATTCAACAATACAGCATACAGTTTGTAACTTTTTGAAATCAAGGCATCATTATCATTAAAATTTATGGAAGTGCCAATATACATAAGATCACTATAGGCAAGACAGTAAATGAATTGAAACAGTAGGATTTTAGACCCTTTATTATTTTTATCTACATGTATATAGTTTTGAAGTGTTCTATAAAAAATGACATATAATATCTTATATAATATCTTATCTTTGCAGGTTTGCGAATTCGTATCTTCAACTTAGTCATCAAACTATTGACATGTATACTGTACACAGTAAGGGTACTGACAGAAACCATTCCTCCAAATTGGTGAGTTATCTCCCTGTAAACAGTATGTGAGTTATCCCCTTAAAACAATGTGAGTTATCTCCCTACAGTTTATGAGTTATATTACTGTTAACAGCATATGAGTTATCTCCCTATAAACAGTGTGTTAGTTATCTCCCTGTAGTTTGTGAGTTATCTTATTGTTAACAACATGAGTTATCACCTTATAAACAGTGTGTGAGTTATCTCTTTATATTGTGTAAGTTATCACCTAGTAAGTAGTATATGAGCTGTGAGTTATTTTCATTTTAACAGTGTGTGAGTTATCTTACTGTATACAGTGTGTGAGTTGTCTCCCTGTAAACAGTGTGTGAGTTATCCCTCTGTTTACAGTAATATATGAGCCTTTAATCTCAATGTAAAATTTCATAATGGCTCAAGATTTACAGGGATTCATGCCAGATTTATATTATTAAATGTGACTGGATGTGATCTAGTGACAACTAAGATTGAAACGGATAAAGTACAAAGCTGTAGTATGGTCAGGGTACAAATTACAAAGCTGTAGTATCGTCAGGGTACAAATTACAAAGCTGTAGTATCGTCAGGGTACTTAATGTTACCCTGTCCGAGAATCAACACCACTTTTCTTTATGATCCAAAGTGTTATGAAATATCCTATAAGAACGACATGATTTAACATCAAAATATATTTCATGTATCTGCAATTTTTATTCAACAAAGATTTTCAAATTATTAGAAAATATGTTGATGTAAAAATGCTTATGGTAACAAATCTTGGCCACTTTAATAAAGAATAAATTTTGAGAGTTGACTGCAAAACTGCAGTAACTTGTATATGAAATAAAGAACGACTTACAACAGTCTTGCGGTCAACCCTATAGATATAGAAAAAGTCATGCCCAGTGCAGGATTCGAACTTGCATCATCAGGACTTACAGACACAAGTGAACTCAACATTTTAGGCCATTGAACTAAGGACACACCAGTGACTGTGTACTTACATAGATATAGGGGATAGTTTATTTGCTTACATAAACTGTATGATGTTTCAGAGAAGTATGGGAGTGTACTCGCAGCAAACAGACATTGTCCTCTTAATTTATCATGATAAATAAAGAGGACAATGTCTGTTTGCTGTTTTCTGTATGAAACTACTTACGAGCTTGCGCAAGCTTGCAGCAAGCTAATATAGCAAGCATAAATAGCCAATGTAAGCTTGCGACAAGCTTGCAGCAAGCTTGTCACAAGCTTACCGCAAGCTTTCCTTTTGGTTTGGGCACACCCCCGTGCCGATTTTGCGACGCAGTAAAAAACGGTACTGCGGGGCCATACATATATATTTTGACGTGACGTTTTTTGCTTTATAAAAACATATTGTTAAAGCACACTAATGATTAGTTACACTGTGGAAAAAAAATTGTTGCTACTGTAAACAGTTCTTATTTTGGGTATGTGATAAATAGAAGATTATATTTGTGTTAGGATCATTACTTAAGCTATTGAACTTGTTCAATAAAATAATATTATGCATGCCAGAGGCTCGCATAATATAATTTTATTTAACTCATTCAATAAATTCAGTTTTGAACCAACACTCATTCAATATCCTCTATATATTCAAAAATTTCTGCTGCTCGCAACACAAGGTTTCCCCCTTGTTCAAGCTTAATATCAAAGCTTTTACGGTGTTTGCATAATTTACCATAACTCCAAGTCTCCAAGAGTGCGCCTGTCGACAAGTGACTGCTTAGAGTGCAAGTCTGTATAAATAAGAGAAATTATTGCTTTGAAAATGATAATTATAACAGTAGGTGGTCAATCAATACCTTTTTTGTGCATAATTATACAGGAGGGGCCAGTATTTTGTTTTGGTTTATTAGATCAATAGTGCTTTAGAAGAAACTGTACGCCAGAAATTTATATGTCTGCATTTGGTTGTATTTGTGTGGAAATGTACAAGGCAATTATAAGAAATAGAATATCTGACATTAACCCTTGATTTGCAAGAACCAAAATGGATAAGCCTTTGCCACCAGTAAAGTGTCAGGCCAGCCTTAAAATTATAAATGAACTGTTCCAAATTCAAAACAGGGCAAATCCATTATACAAATCAAGGGGGGTTAGTTTATACCAATTTATTTTAGTTGGATTGTTTAACGGAAGCTACAAACTTATTGAAGCACTATTGAATCCATTCCTGGAACCAACCAGTTCTAAGCAATGAATGTAAAGTTTCTTGCTCAAGGAAACAACGGCTTGCCCCCTGACAGGCTTTGAACCCACACGGTCAGCAATCCTGGGATTCCTAGTCTGACATGTTACTTTTACCACTCGGCCACGCTGCCACTTAAATCAAGGGGGTTAAGGTTTTACATAAATTGATGTCGTCATTAAATAATTTATCAAGCAGTTTCTATAATAATACATGTATAAAATTTGTCAAATCATGTTATTTTCATCTTTTGGAAGGTAGGTGGTTTAATACTCGGCCGATGGCCTGCACCTCAGAGGTCCTCTGTCATTGGAGCAGGTTATTTGCTATATTAAATTATTTACAGTGTATGTCTGACTTAATAAAAATTAAAATAATATAACATAGCAAATGTCTGACTTAAAAATAATAAGGATAGAAAAGAAAACGTTTGCAATGTTTATTTCTATATAATCTGTTTATCTGACTAATGCGGTATGTATATATTTTTACAGCGATACTCTACCAGACACGATAGAGAATGGTACAGTTGCGGATGATGTCACGTGTTGGGAGAGCGTAGATAAAGAGGTGTTTGAGGATCATCCTGTCATACACTGGTGAGATATAATTTATATCTAACACCTTGTCAATTAATGATATACTATAATCAACAGTGAAATATAAACTGTAACACTCCCTGTACCACTGTCATTGCATGAATTTTATCATCAAATTTTAGAATGACTTTTGTGGAAGCACCTTTGCTATGAAATACAATACGTTTCCAGTGAGATGTAATATATCACCCTGAAATATTGTCACATATTTGTATGTTAAAAATCGCCTGTTAATTAATAACTTGGTTATTTATGCCACCCCCACCCCCATCCTCCTCTTGTGTCCTGGTGTATTTGTCCTTAATTCAGTGTGAAATGCTACAGTAAAATTCTAGGCCTGAAATTAGTCTTGAATTTGTCTAGTATAAATGTGTATACGTCTGAAATATATGTAATAGATAAATCATGTGTATAAGTCTGAAACACATGTGATATATATAGACAGAACATGTGTATAAGTCTGAAACATGTGCAATATATAAATAAAACATGTGTATAAGTCTGAAACATGTGCAATATATAAATAAAACATGTGTATAAGTCTGAAACATGTGCAATATATAAATAAAACATGTGTATAAGTCTGAAACATGTGTGATATATAGATAAAACATGTGTATAAGTCTGAAACATGTGTGATATATAGATAAAACATGTGTATAAGTCTGAAACATGTGTGATATATAGATAAAACATGTGTATAAGTCTGAAACATGTGTGATATATAGATAAAACATGTGTTTACGTCAGAAACATGTGTAATATATAGATAAAACATGTGTATAAGTCTGAAACACATATAATATATGGATAGAACATGATTGTGTATAAGTCTGAAAGATATGTAATAGATGAAACAAATTTAGGAAGGGTTAAAGTTTTATAGGACATACATATAAGTTCATAACTTAAAGCTAAATAAGCTTTGAATGGAAGTTTCTAAGAAATGCAAAATAGAAATATTATTCAGCCATTGCATGTATAAAATCCATTGTTTATGCTTGCATAATTAATTCCTGTAATATAAACAGCTATTCTAGAAGCAATAGCCATCAAATGAAGTGTAAACATTCTCATGCATATTCATGAACACTTTATGCTGCAGCCCATGCAGAGAACTTTAAACTGATCGAAGAAATCTTTTATTTAAGGGTGAGAATGTTTTTGAAAAATGCAGTGGAAATTTCGCAGCCTTTGTAGAAATTGCATGACACAACAGAATATTTTAATGCAGGTTTTATTTCCATGGAGATCAAAATTGGTTTTGTGTTTAGGATGTAAAGTGAGACCGGAACTTGGCTTTTATTCTCTTAAATGACAGTCAGTTGGACATTTTGATATCAAGTCAGTATGCTGTAGGAATACTAATTGACATTCTGCGTATTTTATTCCATTGTTTCAGCTCGCTATTGAATTATTAAGTTAATTTGTTATGGTGTTTAAATGTTGATATAGTTATTGTAAAATTCTCTTCACAAGGCATAATTTGTATTGTAGTGATGTAATAAATGCTCAATTTTAAGGGACCTCAATGTGTTATTTTTTAATGCTGAATTTAAGGGACTTCACTGAGTCTTTTTAATGCTTAATTTATAGGGACTCCACGAAGGTTTTTAATGCTCAATTTAAAGGGACTCAACTGAGGTTTTTTTTTAAGTAGACGGGACTGGAAATAGTGTGTTGAGAGTTTTTTATATGCTTTATAGATGCATGAAAAGCATTTGATTGCTTTAACTCAAATCAGACAAAAGTATACTAACTTATCATATATTGAGGGGAAAAAACACACAAAAAAAAGTGTGGTGGTGTTGGTAGTTTACCATCATGATCACTGCAGTAAGCCACATTGAATTAACCTGAGCACAAGGCAGTCACCACATCATTCATTAGCAGGCTGTCAAGCAATTTACCAGTTTTTAGTTGCCTTCACTTTCGCAAGGAACTGATAACTTCTATACATGCCACCAAAAAAAAAAGTCCCACAAAAATCCCTAGATATCCTCCATGTAATGCATGTCATCGTTGATTTTTTTCGCCACCACCCTTGCAGAAATATATACTGGTATTCAAAAAGTCCCAGTATTTCACAGTTATTATCCTAGAAAACTCCAGAATGTTAAAACCAGTCTTGGCTATTCTAGTATGGCCTAGGAAGTACCAGTTACTGAGAACTAGGCATTTCTAATAATTTTCAAACAACTCATCAATTTCTAAGTTATACTAGGAATTGTAATTTATTTTCTGAGATTTCTAAGACTTAAGATTTTGCAAAATTCCTAGTCTTTAGGAATTACTTGGAATTTATCTTGTAGAACAAAATCCTTAACATCTGTGCTAAATTCCTTGAATCTTACATAAATTCCTAAAGACTAGGAATTCTCTTTGTTGAAAGTAAACAAGTAAATAAAGAAGGAAGGCAATAAAATTGAAAATGTTTTTTTTTCTTCTTTTTTTTAAATAAAACAACATACTGATCTAGATCTATTTATTAATATTTTTCTAGGATTACTATTATTATTATTATTATTTAATTGAAATTAAATAATCAATTGACCTTAGTGGTCAACCTGCATTTATGACAATTTTATCATTGGCCATTTAATTAATAGATAATACCAAAATGTATTTGAATATATAATCTAAAAAGAAATAACAAATGTACAGGTACTCCAAGTAAATCAAAGACGTATTATAAACCTTAAAAAAATCAATAATTGACATCTGTAGTATGTAATTCTTATCAGTTGTGTAGAGCTATTTTTAGCGCTGTCAAATTGCATCCACTGATGTCATGCTTCAGTGCACAGGCTGTGTGTATAAACCACTTTATACACGGCTTATATACTGCCTGTTGACATTTTTATTGAGTGTGATTTGAACATATAGACATGTAATTAGGGGTGGATTTAAGGTGATTATTATTGGATAGTTGAAAATCCCATGTGGCAAATTGACTCTTGTGCACTCTTTTTTCACGTGTCAAATTTGTGCATTTCCAAATTTTCACGAGTCAAAACCGAATCCCCGCGTCAATCTTAAAGTAGGCTATATTTATGCTGACGGAAATTAACGATGATAACTTAGTCTTTACTATTAACCAGCGAACCTTTACGATTATACTCGAGCAATATCCGTATATTTACGCTAACCAAGACGAGCATAATTTCATGACGTATTGGACACGTATACTGATGACGTAGCAACACAATTGTTTTGGAAACTTCTGTAGCTTTGTATGAAATTCAAGCGCTTGTTGGGCTTAAAATAATAAATAAGTGAAATACAATTCAACGATATAATTGAAACAATTCAGTCATTGTATTGACGGCAAAAACAACGGAATTACACGAAAGTATGGGAATCAAGCACATGTTACTGACGTAGTACACAGGTTTATTACGTAGAACACAGGTTTATTGTGCGCGCAATATTCAAAGATGGCAGACACTTCTCTCATATCAACAGTGAACTGATATCATCTCCCCAATAAAGACATACAACGAGGAAGGTGAAATTGCTCAAGCAAATTATCAGGAGAAGACCTTCCAAGCTGCAATCGGTGAAATTCACTGTGAGTATTATCATAAATGCACTGATTTTTTCCCAAACAGAGCCGGCGTGTTTATGACCCCTAAATAAAAAATGAACAGTCTACAGATGAAGAGTCTAGACATTATTTAAATGCCCTTTCTTCACTTCTAAAAGCATTATTTTGTAACAATTTGCCGACTGTAACAATAGAAATAATTTATTGTATTTCCAGCTTATTCCTAGTTACAGTTAAGATACTTAAACCTTACTGGAAATATTGCGTAAACGAACATTTGTCACATATTTTCGTGACCTGTTTTTATTTATTTATTTGTTAAACAGAAACGATATAATAATAATGAATAAAAAAACAAAGCATCGTTGAAGATTGAAGATTTGCTTCCCTGCTTATGCCCTCTAAAAGTTTAAAATATTTTTTTGAAAAATGCATTGTAGCAAGTTATTTTACCCCCAGACAGTTCAATACCCTTGTATGCAGACAGTTCACTACCTTAGCAATTTTGCACTTGTATTAGAAAAAAAAGTTTTTCATAAAGAAACAATATTTTTATATCACTATTAATTTATGTAGTTATATCTATTAGAATATGATAAACAAGAGCAACAAGAAAAGATGATGTTCAATAAGCCTACATCATGTCTGTATTTTAAAATAACACTTTATATATTGACTGTATTTTTAAATCACAATAAGAAACCTCCAAAAATTTATTTGCAACAGAAATCATGTTTTCTGTTTGTTTTTGTTGTGTGTTTGGGGGGGGGGATTTAATCTCTAGATTTCTGTGCATGTATAGGAATTATTGGACCACTAAAAAGTTGTCTAGGCCACCAAAATTTATCGGTCAGTGGTCCAGGTGACAGCCTAGCTAAAATGGTTTGTCTTTGACACTGCCTAAGCCTATACTAGAGAATCTGAATACTGGTCCATTAAAATAAATCCCACATGATGATTTGCAAAGAACAAAAATAGCACAAACAGTGTCATACTTTAAGCACTAACCTGAATACATTGCCTTATTCTCAGTCATTGAATTTAAGATTTTTGAATATACTCCCCCAAAAATTCCAGTTTTGAATTTATTCTACTATATATTTAACTAAATTCTCCTAAAATTTACACTGGTCATGGGCCACCGGGCCAGTGCTAAATTCGATGACTGTAATCTGTTATTGTATTAGTAAGGGGGCAGGACGTGAAGTGGTTGACCACGCTTGAACAAGATATTTTTGTGGCCCCACTTTAGTGGCAGGCATTTAGATTTACCCTTGTATGCCGTTCTCTTTTGTGTCGGATGTAACTCAAAAAGTGTTTGACCTAGAGTCATGAAACTTTACAGGAATGTTGATCAGCATGTGCAGTTGTGCACCTGGGTATTTTCGTGTGGATTTATATAGTATTTTTAGAGTTATTGCCCTTGACTTAGTAAAATTTTGCAATTTTCAACTTGTGTCGCATGTA